ACTAAGAGCTGCAATACACCCTGGATGACTAAGGGCTTCAAAAAATCGTCCAAAATTAAACAAAAACTAAATATTTTTTGAAAACAAAAACACTTAAAAACAAAAAAATTTACAAGGACTACAAAAATCTATTAAAAAAATTTCCAAAAATCAAAAACAATTTTTATCCCAATTACTTAATTGAATTATTGGAAAACAAAAATCATGTTCAGGTTTTCTGCCACAAATGGTTAAAGTCGAAAACAAAAGTTTATACGAACCTAGAACTATAGCTCAAGAATTTAACAAATTTTTTTAGCGATATAGGTCTAACACTTTTTAAAAAAATCCCTATGACTAAATCTTTATTTACTGATTTTCTAGTACCCATTGATAATTGCATTGGTTCAGATGAGTTGTCTTCTGAATTATTGTTTGAAGAGTTTAAAAGAGCCTTCAAATCGTTAAAAAAAAATAAAGCAATTGGAGCAGATCAATTAAATGGAAACGTTGTTATAGGTTGTTATGAACAGCTAAAAGTTGTTCTTTTTAAAATTTTCAAAGTTTCCATCCATCAAATTGTTTTCCCCGAACTGTTAAAAATTGCCAAAATTCCTATTTTCAAAGAAGGGGACAAATCAACTATTAGTAACTATCGCCCCATTTCTGTTCTTTCCACATTTTCAAAAATTTTAGAAAAAATTATATATAACAGAGTATACAAATATTTTCATGTTAATAAATTGCTTTACATTAATCAATTCGGTTTTAAAAAGGATAGCTCAACTGAACATGCAATTATTCAATTTGTACGTGAAATCTCAAAATCATTTATAAAATCACAATATACTCTAGGACTTTTTATTGATCTATCAAAAGCTTTTGATACGACTAAACACCAAATTCTAATCTATAAACTTATACACTATGGTATAAAAAACAAAGTTTTAAAATGGTTTGAAAGCTATTTCTCAAACCGTAAACAATTTGTTCCGAGTAATGACGGTTATCATACCAATTATCTTATTATAACATGTGGAGTCCCACAAGGCTCATTTCTTGATCCACTCCTTTTTTTAATTTATATTAATGATTTAAATAAAGCCTCCAAACTAGCAAGTATTATGTTTGCAGATAATACTAATTTATTCCTTTCTAACAGTGATATCTTTGAACTTTTTAAAACAATAAACAAAGAGCTTAGACATGTATTGAATTGGTTTAAATGTAATAAGTTAACTCTAAATTCGAATAAAATATAGTGGACCTTATTTCATTCCCTTTCCAAAAAACGGTATTTGTCATTAAACTTACCTAAAATTTTATTGATCAAATTGAAATAAAAAGAGATTCCGTAACAAAATTTTTAGGTGTTTATCTTGATGAAAACATCACTTGGAATCATCATATCAACTACATTAGCACTAAAGTTCCAAAAAACATAGAAGTTTTATATAAAGCACAAATCTACCTCATAAGAAAATTAAAAAATTAAATAACACAGTTATTTAAATTATGCTAATATCGCCCGGGTAGTACTGAAAAAAGTAAATTGCAACGTCTTTATCTCCGTCAGAAACATGCTATCCGTTTTATCTGCTTTGAAAATTGCTTTTCTCACGCAAAACATTATTTTATTGAAATAAGAAGTTTAATTATACACGAGCTAAATATATGTATTGTTTTATGCTTTGTATTCATGTGGAAAAATGACTTGTCTCAATCTGTCTTCAAAGATATTTTTACTCCGAAACCCATCAACAAATACAATTTGAGAAATACTGATTTTTTAAATGAACCTTTCTGTCAAACGAACTTTAATCAATTTTGTATTGCTTATCGGGCACCACACCTTTGAAATAAAATTGTTTTGCCCAATTTTGACTACGAACTACTCATTACTTTTTGTATTTTTAAAAGTAAATTAAAAACCCTAATTTTTTTCAATAGATGACGTATTATGTTATTATTAATAACATGAATTAATAACTTTGTCTTTTCTTATTAACATTTGTAAAAAGTTTATTCTTACTTATTATGTTGATTTTATATTCTTTACTTAACGTATAGGTTTATATAAAATATTGGTGAGTAGATTCGCGTGATCTCTTCTTGGATTATATAATATATACTTATGAAATTTGTAAAAATTTGATACTGGTAATGCTTGTTTAAACTTATTTAAGGTTCTAACGACAAGATCCTTTGATCTTCTTTCAGAAGATCAAAGGATCTTGTCGTCATTTTATATTCGTTACCTTATTTTATATTTGTGAAAGTTTATTATTATATTTCTAAGATATCATTACCTAAAAAAACTTAATACATTTAACTTGTATACATTTAGTTCTTAAAATGTTGGTTAAAGACAAAGATAGATAACTGCTCCATTAAAAGCATTTAATATATGCTTGTCTTTCAACATTTAAAAATAATTTATTTCAAGCTATTATTTACTTAATGTTTTTGTTTATCACTACACTTTATTGTAAGGTAAAAATAGTTTTGTTTATAATGTAGAGATTTTAAATTATTTATCATATTATGCACAGAGATTTGGTTGTCTTGTTTATGGATTTGATTTTGAGGATTCAAATTCAAAAAAAAGCGGGTTTTTTTACATTTTTTTGATTTTTTCATAATACAAAATAATTTTGAAGTTTAATAAAAATTATACCCAAATATATTTAAGGTAACGATGTTATAAAATTTCACAGAAGAAAAAAAATTTTAAGAAAGCGAAAATTTCATAAAACAAAAAAACAAAAAAAAAAAAACATCATCGCGAGTTTTGTTTGCATATGTATGAAGATTGAGGCACTCATTTTGTTTGCATATGTATGAAGATTGAGGCACTCATGTTAATAATGTGCTCAGGTAATTAGTCCTAATATGCTGCGGATGGTCTAAAAAAAAGTTGTCTAAAACCTAAAAAAATAAACTATATTAAACAAGCAAGAAAGTCCTGCTACTCAAAAAAGTGCTGCTGAGGAGGCAAAAAAAAAAAAAAAAAAAAAAAAACCGTTGCTACGGTTTTTTTTTTTTTTTTTTTTTTTTTTTTCTAGAAAAAAGTGTAAAACTTTTTTTGACAATGATAAGCTTTTTTGTTACATTTGTTTTTTTAGTATAAATAAATGCTGCATCTGTTTTTCAAAATGCTTTAGTATTAGGGTTTTTAAAGAAATTCGTGCAATGGAAAAATCAATTTCTTTTGTACGGAGATTGAGAACGAGGAATTACATTTTTTCGTACCGAATATTACAAAACATTTAAAATCGTCGATGTTCATTTCGGAAATGCTACTTGACATACGAAATAAAACTATTTTGCAACATACAAAAGTAGCTGTTTTGGAAGTCGCACTTGCGAAACAAGTATTATCCGCCAAACGACGTTTTGAAGTCTATAAAGAAAATTTGTTTGCCAGACTGATTTTAATTGTAAAAATTAACATCTTCAAATCCCAAAATGTTTATAATGAATTTTTCTTTTCAGTATAAGAACATATTAAATTTTTATGGTTTAATTTTTAGAAATATTATTAAAAAACAAAATTTTTTTCGAAACGAAAGTAATATGCATCACAACATACAAAAGAGTTTTTATCGGAAACAAACTTACGAAACGCGCCATAATACATATATATATATATATATATATATATATATATATATATATATATATATATATATATATATATATATATATATATATATATATATATATATTGATGTTTTTTGAATTTATTACGTATAGTAAAAGTAATAATGATGGGGAGGATTATACATGTTTTTGTTTTTTTATAGCATATGAAATTTTTGAAACAGATTCGAATATGCTTAAGCAAAAAATAAAAACAGGCTCAAAATTATCCTTAAGCTTAAGCATATTTCTAATAAAATATATCTATTTCAATAATTTCTAAAAGTGTGCGCGTTACTAAAGGTTAATGGGTATAAGAAAAAAAAAAGTTGACTTATGCTCTGTTTTTTTTTTGTTTTGGTTTTAATGTAGCTGAATTAATGTTGTTGTAAACTTCAGTTTTTGTTGTTTTTGTTGGTTTAAATTTAGAAACATATATATTTAAAATTTTTGATTAAGTAATAATATAACTTTTTAAATGGTTTATCGAGGCTCAGGAATATGCTTCTATATGCGTATTTTTTTTCTAAATCTGAGCCTATAAGCGTTAAGCTTATAAAAAAAACAACGATTATTTACAGTAGAATTCCGTTATCTTGGTCCCTGGATAACTAGGACTTAGGAG